AAGCACCGGCAAAGCCTCAAGAACCAAACTTGGCAGAGACAGCAGCTAAACAACAGACAGGAGCCAAGATTAACACACAGGAAAGTACTGCAAAGAAAGCAAAAACAAAAGCAACAAAGCCAGCGGCAAAGCAGAAAGCACCAAAACCGGCAGAGGAACCGGCTGATCAAGACTGGAATGATACAGTAGCAACCTTGATGGCAGAGCTTGCAAACGCAAAAACACAAACCATGCAGAAGGGCGATACAAGCAGTTCCCTTGCCACACTCAAGCTGCAAGAACAAATCGGTGCAGTTACCGCCCGCTGCTGTGGTGTCAGCTGCTGCAATTTGCTTTGACGTATCGGAGGAGCCCCCAAAAGCCGCTGAAGCTGCTGAGCTAGCTGCTGCGTGACCAGCAGGGACCAGTGCCAAGCAACTGATAGAACCAAAGAATGCCAAACAAAAGGAATTGTTCAAACACGCGGACTTGATCGTTCCTGGAATCGCTCTCAAAAAGTTCAAGATGGCACTCTCCAAAGATGATGCATCGGCAAACATGTTGGCTTTTCTAGCACAACGGAAGGCCACGATGTACAAGACTGATCGGACCGCTCTTTGCTCAATGGTTATGGGCGACGTGGTCAACACTCCAGAGCAATTTTGGTCAGCTGTTGCCACTTGCTTCAAGGGGCAAACAGGGTGTGCATTGGTGGTTTCCAGTCAAATATTCTTTTCACTGGACAAAGCGCCTGAATAAAACGAACAAGCCTGTTAGTTTTTTTGTTTTTATTTTTTTTTGGGGGGGCGGGCTAACATAGACATCAAACATGGTGTACAAAGCTTGACAAGAGTTTGGCTCAAGTTGTTGTTCTGCTGAGGTGCTTGATGATCTCCCACTTTCTGTGTCTACAAACAAGAAGCTGTATGTCTTCGAGGTGCCAGACCTGGGATCCTTGGGGACGAGCGAATCGGACTACAGCAACGTCGTGGTGAGAATGTTTGAGATGGCAACCAGTTCATTGCAAGCGTCTGATGCAAACATTGCCTACTTTTCCACGGGAAAGCTAGGCACCCTGGTTGGCGGCTTGCTCAATGTTGCTGACTTTCGCTGGCCGATGAGCAAGGAAGACGTCCAATTTGCCCACAAGGAGATGATTCAGAACTTGCTGACCAAAAAAAGGACTGGGTGGGCTAAACATGGACTGCGACATGGCAACTGTTTTCATGTTGTCTGGGATCTTGTTTTATTTGGTCGGTATATATAAGATATAAGTCTGTAATATTATTTATGTATAGTAGTCTAGTCTAGGCCAAGTGCTGCTTGACCCCAGGAAAGCCATGGAAGACAGGAATGCGGAAGTTCAGAAGCGACAAAGTGTGTGGAACTCTGTCCAGCAAAATTTTGAAGCACGGGAGGCTGTGAACAGGGAGAAAAGCGCAATGTACGAGAAGCACCTCAAGATTTGGCAGAAGATAGTGCAGTACACGACTTGTGTCCACACACATGGAAGCCAGAAGCCCCCAGGTGCCACGTGGAAAGATTTTTGGGTTCAGGGCCTTGGTGCTGAATGTGCAGGCGCTGAGTTTCCCATGATTTTTCATCAGAATGAAGAGGTTCTTCCATTCTGTGAACTGCTCACCAAGCTGATGGAGCATGTCGGAACTTTGCACACAGAAACCAAAAAGTTCCAATCACGGACCTTGAAGTTGTCAGACAGAACAAGAAAGAGAAAACAACAGCACGATCGTCGACTGGACAGGGTTCAAAAGAAATTTCAGAAAACAATGGGCACTGATGATGAAGCAAAGAAAGAGGCCATGAAGAAACGGAGGAGGCAACTCTACCATATCAAGCGCCGTGACACTCTGCCCAAGTCCAAGAAAAGAGCTGGTCTCAAGAAGGTGGCTGAAGAGCATGTGGCTGCACCGCCCGACAAGCCCCGGAGACTGATATTCATCAGCGACAAAATGAGGGTGGTGAGGTTCTACCAGCAGCTTGTCAAGGAGAAGGAGGCTGCGTCCAAGATCTTGGCAAAGCAAATGTCCTCCTGTGTGACCTGGTCTGAACGAGAGCAGCTCCGCGACCAAAAGAAGGATGCCAAGAAGATTTGCCGGAGAAACTTGCAGGACGTTTGCCGTCGCACCTTTCCTGATATAGTCGGGAAAGCTCAAGTCAGGAAATGGGTCCTGACCGCTGAGATTGAAGGGTGGGCTGATCTTCCACAGCAGCTACAGGCTTCATCAGTGTCCACTTCAAATGGATGGAGGCAGAAGTATGGGGCAAAGCTCAAGGGCAGAGGAGGAGAGTCTGGATCGGTACCCATGTCCATCATGCGCGAACTGGACCAGCTACTAATGAAGCACAGTCAGGGCTACTCTGAGGTCAGCGAACGGCGTGAAATTGTCACTGTGGACCACATCGTATCCTGGCTCAAGAATAGCGGTGCTAACATGGACTTGCGCCTAGACACACCTCCCATGTGGAATTCTCTGTAGCTGATACAGTCCGGTTTGAGAAAAACACAACAATTACTGCAACATAAACATAGATTGTGATCGCTGGATCTGTTCTTAGTTGGATGTGGGTCGCACTGGGTTGCACCTGACCTTTTACATTGACCAACCAAGGTGGCAACAGCAGCTGGTTTGGTCAACGATTGGAATTCCTGCTTGGAAGAGATGACGGAGGAGATAAAGAATCAGAATGAGCAAATGTTGTCCAAATCGCACGAAGCAGCAATGGCTGGACTGACTGCATTGCCAAAGCCATTGAAAGTACCAAGTGCTAGCTGGTGCCGAATGTTCCAAAAGAATTGGGGCTGGAGCCTGCTGTCTGCTGGCTCAGAGGCCCAAGCCTACTTGCCATACGACCACGTGGACATGGTGATGAGCAGAAACCATGTAAAAGACCTCTTCACCACTCAGGGCGTTCACCCAGGTCTACTGCTGAACTTCGATCAAGTGTGGCGTCAAGCATTCAGTCACAATGCAAAGTTGAGGTTTAAGCCAAGGCATCTGGCTGGAGTGAAAGCAAGCAAGACCCGTCCAAACAAGCACAGCGACAAAAAGATCCATCACATTCGCGGATCACGCAGATCCATTACAGCCCCTCGACGAGTTACAATGAGTTACATGTGTGTTGGTTTCTGCACGCCTAGAACTAACACGTTGTATGCTTAGGGTGCCATGTCCATGTTAACTTTGGGTGTATTGACACAGTTCATCGTTTGGGTTCACTTTGGTGAAAGCTAAGCCTGTCCACCTTTTACATAGACTGTGGCGATGGCATACCTCCATGTTGATTGGATTGGTGGACTTGATTTGACTCCAAGGTCCTGACAAGTTCTTGGTCGGACGGCAGCAAAGGCCCGCTGGCCTTCTGCATCCCAGAAGGGGCCATGACTGCACAAGAAATACAGAAATGGAACCAGGAGCACGAGGGCATCTCCATGGTGCTGTCATCGGGCGGCAAAAGCCACTTCATGTGTGCAGACACTTTGCTGCAAGTCTACGAACAGCTCTACTCTGGGGCACTGGCTCGACAGAGGGCGAAGCCACTGGAACGAAGTTATAGTTGTATTTTGTTTGTTTGACATGACCTCTGTCTTTTTGTCGGAGTGCGGCATTTTATCATAAACAGTCACAGTGAGATGTGCCAGAGGTTTGGCCTGGACATCAACGACGAGTCTGCTCTGTGTGGGTTCATCTGTGATGCATGGACGGGTACCTACGCGGAATCACGTGGAGAGGCACCCCGCAGGACTGGGTACTTGAATCGCAGATATAATCCACGTTTACACTAAGTCACTAAGTGTTGCACTGACCTGTGTGGTTGGTATGGATAGTGGTCTGGACTACAAATCATTGTTGTGCATTGATATGGATATGATAGTTGTTCAGAGTCCATGTTAAATACTCCAGGAATGCCTTCTACACGAGCCATCGGGTGCTTCCACCCAGGAAGCAGCCCGGTGGGTGGAGCAGTCATGGACAGCCCGTGGATCAGTTGCATGGTTGCTTTCGACGTGAAATTCGCGCCAGAGATGTTGCTGCCGCTGGAATGTATTCAGATTTGAGGACCCGCCCAGAATTCCACGAGCTTGATGTTCGACCATCAGGGCAGCTGTCCTACGCTGTCAGAAGCTGGGGTGAGATCCTTCAGCTCACTCTGGATGCCTGGAATAGCTTGGATCCTAAGGTTCACCAAGCTGCATGGCTCGCATGCGGTTACATGGATCCAGACCACTTCCGTCAGTTCACCAGCGGTGACTTCACCCCGTTGGAGATGAAAGAAGTGAAGGCGACTCTGTCTGATGCGTTTGGTGACATGGGCTTCTCAAGCAGTCCTCAACGGTGCACACAGCTGGAATGGCAGGTTCAGGAGACGGGTTCAAAACAACTGAAAGGTTTGCTTCTGTGTTGGAGTCTATCCACTATTCAAAGACCATGTGTTGTGTCTTGATAATTGTTGGTGAGGATGAAACCGAGACTTGGCTTGCTTTGCCTTATGAGATTGCCTCAGCATTTGTGCGCACTCTCATGCTTCACATTCAGAAGCTGAAGGAAGCATACACCACTTGGCAAGAGTCCGGGACAAAGAAAGCCGAAGATGCCTACGTGAGCCTGAAAGAAGTGCAGAGGTACATTGCTTCTTGTTTTTGTTAACATGGCTCGTTTCCTTTGTCAATTTGGTGTGTGGAGATAGGTCTCTGCTGAAGAAGCAACATGTGTTCAGTTGTTGCTGTAAGGGCCATGTTAATTGTGTAGAGTTGGAAGCTTCAAACTCCCAAACCTGTTCGTGGATTCTGTGGCAAGTTTGAGGTTCTCAACCACAAGACCGGCCAAATGGCCACACAGGAATGGCTGGCCAAAAACGTGGCCGTGTCAGACGGGGTGCCTACTTTCAAGACGAAGAGCAAAGGAACGATCATGACTTTGGGTTTCAGGGTGCTGGGGTCTGATGTTGACCTGACACTGCGACTTGGTGCTGGGAAGCCTGCGCTTAAAGTCCGATGCTTTGAGTTCAAGACGGGCCTGGTTTCTACTAAGATGGCAAGCTTGTATGATGGGTACAGCCACTTTGTTTCAGACTTTGAGTCGCAGCAAGGCAGTGATGCTGCTGATGATGAAAGCAGCGACGACATGATCTATGATTCCCACGGGCTTGAAGGTCTGGAAGTTCAAGAAAAGTCTCACGATTTGGACATGTCTGCATGTCTTGTGCTGCGATCCATGATAAATGTGTTTACATATATACACACATCCTGTAAGGCATAAAATAAATATAAGCCCAACAATGCCACTGCTGTTGTTTTCGTGGTGGAGGTCTGTGCCAGCGCGGTCCATGTTAAGTGTAGCTCGCCTTTGTTGTCAGGACAGGCATTGCTACAGGCTGCTGAAGAACAAGCTGACCCAGCTCCTGCCCCAACCTCATGGATGATGACGATGAGGATCATGCGTCCGACGTGGACATTAGTTTGGTGGATCCAGACAACTTTGTGACCATGGTGGGACCAAAGAGTAGTGAAGACACCAAAGTCAAGACTCATGTTCCTCCATGTTTTTTCGAGCGGGAAGCTTATCGTCATCTCTCTGAAGAAGGGCTCACCGATATTCCTCCGGGATTTCAGCTGTCTTATCATTCATCCACTAGTCAGTGGCATGGAAGGGCAACCGACGGCTTGCATAACTTTGCTCCGACATGGGGATCCCTTCGCTCGGAGTCTATGTCTCTTTTGATGGTGCTGGAGCGCTTGTGGACGAAGCACCTTGAGAAGTACCCTGAGGATGAGCATGGCGTGACATACCTAGACTTAATTCGAGAGAAAATGAAAGAGGTCAATTTTTGACCATGCAAGATGTCAAGAGTTTGGAATCCATGTTTAGGAGGTCAAGTTTTGACCACGCAAGATGGCAAGAGCCTATAATCGTGTCACACTAGAGTACAGTTTGATTGTGTCATCACAGGACCACGCATACACACACCTGCACTTTGGCAGCTGTTTGACGTCCATGTTAGCTAGGCAGGTTGCGTCAGCAATTTTGGTTGGCGTGTTCATAGCGTATAACCGTATAGCGTAGCTATGTCCCGGCTTTGTTGCTAGATAAGAGCTGCAGTCGACGTGGTCATGGCACAGTTTCAACATACCAATGACGCTCTGGGGAGGGTCAAAAAGAGATGCCGCAGCATGCCTTGACCTTTTTTTAACATGTGCTGTGCCAGATCGAGGTGCGATCACTGGGTTTTCCCTAGGGAATACACAGAGCAGTGAGCAACTCTGGCGCTGCTCACGTTAAAAAACACAACCATTTTTGCGCAGTCCATGTTGGGTGCATGGCTGTACGAACAGTCCACGTTAGCAGTTGGGGCCAAGCATATGCATGTCCATGATAGTCTGTGGAAGTGTAAGCAGTAACTCGATCCGAGAGTCGCGGAGGCTTCAAGTCCAAGAAGGGTTGTGCTGTGGGAATCTCTTCTCAAGTCCTCAGGCTTTCCAGACACGGGTGTTGTTGACCTGGTGAAGCAGGGCATCCTGTTGGTAGGCGAGCATTCGTATCCACCGAATTTTCCCAAGGATTCGAGGCCAGCTCTCACTTCCGCCAATCTTCGCTGTGGAGGAGAAAAGCACTGCTTGGAGCCCAGAGTAGAGTGACGCAGAGAATTTAGTGGATGAACTTCACCGAGAGTCCCAGAGATTTTGGAAGAAGTTGGCCAGGGGTTTCTTGAAGGACCTTTCACTGAAGCTCAGATAACCAGCCGCTTCGAAAACAATCAATGGCTCTTGAACAGTCGTTTCGTCTTGCAACAAGGAACCCAGGAGACACCAAAATACCGAGTCGATTGCCGGCAGAGTGGGTTGAACGACGCGTATACATGGATACGTTGGCCTCTGCGCTAGCAGCCATCGCGGAGGCGTGCAAGTCAGGGCGGGTTGATTTGGCAAACAGCTTCCAATTCACCCTGACTCTAGATCTTTGTGTGTGATAGGGTATTGCCGAAGGGGTCGTGGCAGCTGTTCGCCACAGATGTCCTGCCATTCGGCGCTGTGGCTTCTGTCTACGGCTTCAACAGAGTGAGCCGACCCATTCACCGCATCCTGTGTTCCTTTCTTCGGGCTACTTGCATTTGTTTCTATGACGACTTCCCAACTCTCAGTATTGAACCCTTTGCTAGATTGCTAGCCAAAAGTATGTCGCTTGTACTGAATCTTTTGAGATGGAAGCGTGCGCAAGAGGGCGCGAAAGCCCTTGATTTCGGTGCCGACGTCGCTGCGCACGGAGTTGAAGTAGGAGTTGAAAGGCTGCGTGTTGGAATGTTCTCCTTGTGCGACAAAGAGGGGCGGATTGAAAAGATCTGCGCCATGCTCGAAGGCATATCAGGTATAGGGGACGAATAAACAGGCATGAGGCATCGGAAGCGCAAGGGCTTTTGAACTTTGCCTCAAGTTTTTTCGTTTCCAAAGCCTTTCGATTCCTCCTTGGGAGGTTTGATGCTTTGGCCCCCAACTCCACCCTGACCACGGGGGCGAATTTAAAGAAGCTTTGTAGGGTAGCTGTGGTTCTGCTCAAGTCGCTTCCGCAGAGAAGCTTCGATGCCCCTTCCACCAGGGAACCTTTGATTCTTTTCACGGACGGTGCCTGGGAAGAAGGCAAGGCCAGTGTGGGGGGAGTGATTTTCGATCCA